TAGAGCTTAGAAATTTTACAGTGTTCATGTCTACTAATAACCAGTGAAAAAGAAGTATGGCATGTGAATTGAGTCTCTCACTAGCAAGCCTTAATGGTTGTGTTGTAGGAGGTGCATTTTCTAGTTTTCTTAACTACAAATATCTCAATTAGATAAAAAAGTGCATCGTAAAATCTAGAATAAAAGCAAATAATATTCGATAATCTAGGATACTCTAACACTAGCCGCTAACAACTTCTATGAGTCATTTAATCAAACATATAACATTCCTATCAATAAAAGTATAACATTCATACAATTAAAGTGTGTAAGAACACAAAATGTCTATTCTACAAAATAACAATTATAGTAGGTAAGAAAACAAACGAGATATGGCAGAAAATTATGCTTGCCTTGAAAGTGGTTTCGTAGAGATTCTGGTGACAATGACCATGAAGTTGAACAACGATTAGAATGTAGAAGCCTTCATCCATGTAACCTCATCATGAAGCGTTTGTTTGGAGAAAGCTATTTAGGATATGAGCCGAACAACTTCGTGAATACTAGTCTCGTCATTGTTTAAAGAAATTAGGGTTCAGAGGATGTGATGAAAATCAATGAATTTTTAGGATCGAAATGCAGAATTGAAATGCAGAAACAAACAACCAACTAATTAAATTAAAAAAACAGTCCTGAAGGGTTCTTCAGCTTTTCTAATGGACTGAACAAGAGCAGCAGTAGCAAGGATATCCCTAGCCCAGAGCATTGTCGAAATTAGCTCAAACACGATGAAACATCGATTGAATCAAAAGAACGGAACCGCGATGGAGAAATAAAGACCGAAAATGGGAGAAATAGCGATTGAATCAAATGATTATTTTGAGAGAGATAAGAGATTCGGGAGTCGCAATGAAAGATGTTTTGAGAGAATATGGAAAAAATCTGAGTTTTAGGGTTTTTGTATTTTTAATTTAGAAATTAGAAATTAATGACCTTAGTCAGTGCTTTTTGAAGGGCTTTCTGATGTATTTCTTTTAGCAACGCTTTTTAAAAAAAAACTGCTTTCTGATGTATGGCCTATATCATTGCTTATATGAAGCACTTTTTAAACACATCCTTTAGAAGCGTTTTCTAGAAGAACTTTCTAAAGTGTGGATATGTATGGCCTTAAGCAGCGCTTTCTAAAGTAAGCCTCTAGCAGCGTTTTTTCTCAATTTTTTTCAAAGCTATAGCAGCACTTTAGATAAAAAAAGCGTTGTCTATAGTGTGCTGCCTAAAACAAATTTTGTAGTAGAAAGCGCTGCCTAAAGTGTGGCTTTAGCAACACTTTGGGCGTATGGGAGCGCTTTCTACTGTTAGATCTATAGCGGCGCTTTGAATTTAGACAGCGCTTTCTAGAATTTATTATTTTTATTTCAATTTTAATTGACTTTAGGCAGCGCTTTCATAAAGCGTTGTATAAAGTGTGGCTTAGGCAGCACTTTTTCTTAACTTTAGGCAGCATTTTTTTATAATGCGTTGTCTAATGTATATAGTTTTAAAATTTAAAATTTTATCGGGACATATAGTAGCGCTTTGGTATATAAGCACTGTATAAGGTGTGCTGTCTAAAAGCGGTTTTGGCGTAATGAATAAACACCAACTTTTAAACATTGATTTATACTTATAATAAATCGTACATTCGATTTTCTAAGTTCAATTATATAAAACAACACTAAAAGAAAATTCTAAAAGGTGGACATTCAAATAAACAATCTATAGTTGCTATCTCATAGATACATTCATATCTACCCGTGAATCCATATGAGTTAATAAACTTCACTTGAATCCAAATGAGTAAATATCTAAAACTTATTAAACTTAATTTCGATATTAGTCCATTTTTTCAAATCTATGACAGCTCCCCGTCAAATTTCAGTTTTAAAACTTTCTTAATATATCATATTTATATTTTTTTACTACCTACAATGTATGATCACTCCTCGTTAAATTTCAATTTTAAAACCTTTTTATTATATCATATTTACAAAATTTACTAATCTAAAATGCATGACAATACCACGTCAAAAATTAATAAACTATGTAAATATGCAATTTATGACAATACCACATCAAATATTAATAAACTATGTAAATATGTTCATACAAATTCAACGTAAAGATTAAAATCAAATTTATAATCAAATCTTCAATAACAATCTTCAAAATTAAAAAAAAAAAATCATTTATAAATTAATTTTAAAATTTTATAAATAAAAATATAAGTTAAAAATCCAAAAAATATATCAATTTTCTATTAAAACGTGAGACGGACCAAAAATTTTTAAATTAAAAATAGAAAGAATATTTTCGTGAATCAAATAAATTGATGATTAAAATTTGTAATATAGTTTTTTATATTCTAGATAAACCAAGTATTTTGACAAATTTATTTTATTAAATCTATTTTAAATATATTTTGGTATCACTTTTTATTATATTTAACTTTATTTTAATATTATTGAATGTAATGTTATTATTTCTTAAATTATCATAATTAAAAATTACATGATTATAGAAATGTGTAAAATTAATTTATATTTTGAATTTAATTTTCAATAAAAAATAATGTAATATTACTTAAAAATAATTTACTTAAAAAATAATTTATAAAATATATTTTTAAACAACTAAAATACTTATAATCATAAACATAAATTACATAATTTTTAAGATTCTTATAATTATATTGTCCAGTGATATTTATGAATGCATTGTGTATAATGTAGATTCAATTGAATATATTATAAATAGAAAATATACTCACGTATTGCAATGTATTTAATTACTAATATTAGTGATTAGATACATTACGCAAAAGACATATTTTAAAAACAAATATTTATAACAAATTTTTAGTCTAAATGCTAATATTTTTATATAAAATATTATACAAACTGAATTTTAAAAATAATGTTTTTTTTCTTTTTAATAATTATAAAATTACTCAGTACTATTTTATTTCTTTAATGCATAAATTTAGTTATATCAACGTATGTTTAATCTATAAATATAATTTTAATATAAATTATTTATAATAAATATAATATCAAAGTATCATTAATATTAAAAATTATTGTAATTTATTATTAAAATAAATTAATAAAAAAGTGAAATAGACTCTTAGTATGTACATTAAATTTATGGAAAGTGTGAGAAATCACAAATAGAGAGAAAGTGAAATAGAGAGATTAGCCAGAGAGAGTAATCTACCAATCTGTGTAAAACTTTGTTTCTTAGTATAATCTGTTCAAGTCGTAAAACAAAAGACAAAAGAAAAGTGGCTGACTATTTTGAAGAACTAACAGCCAACAGTTATGCACAGATGTGCAGAAGATGATAATTTTTGTAACCAAACTAAAGACAAGTAGTTTACTGAGCTGCATGAGTATATCTATAATACAGTTGATTATAAATTATGCATTAGCTACCACGTGTATGTGGAGTTTAACCCTAATCAGTTTGGCTTTGATGAGATATGGAGTTTCTCAATTTTTAGCACATGACTCCAATAGGAAGAAGCCATAGTGTTGAAATATGATAATGCATGTACACATTTATATACAGTATTTCTCAATTGTTTTCAAACTAAAATATAGGAAATATCAATGGTTATATGCTTTTGAATTAACTTCATTAACTTTATTAACTCAGTTGTAAAATCATTTAGTTACCTAATGAAATTACTTCATCACCTCATGAATGCTTCTATGAATCTTATTATAACCCTTCACTTTTCAAGTCATTTCAATTAACTAAATAATTAACAATAATAAAATTAATTCACAAATTGACACATCGGATGTCATAAATGTCAAATGCATAAGATTGTAGCACACATGTAATTAGTCATTAATAGCCTTGTATTAGTAAAAAAATTAGGTATGTAATTCGAAGGGTTAATTTGGAAAAGTTCACGTGTTATATTTTATATATTTATAATAGATTAATTTGTATATAAATGCAAATATAATCTTAAAAAGTGCCACATGTTCTTAGAAGAGGAAAGTTATATAAAGATTTACTAGTAGAAGATCCTTGCATCTACACGGGTAATTTCATTCATATCTTAGATCATTTGATATGATTTGATTGTTGTTGATATATAATTATTATTATAAAATTACTAATAACTACAAATATTTAAAAACAAAGATGTAGCAAATCACCGTCATGATAAATCTAATATGTCTAATAATTGTAAATATTTACAAATATTATTAATAACTATAAATATTTACAAATATTTTGTTAATTGAAATAAAAAATGTATTGTGATGATAGTGTTCCGTGAAAATAGTGAATTTCAGTGATAAAATTCAACATAAGTTGATAAAATTTACAAATATCATTCTCATTAATTTTTTAAAATACAATAATAAATTGATAGTTTTAATGATAAATTTCAAGAGTTATATTACAAATTACAAAAAGGAAAATATTAATATTTCATATAAATGAAAAGATATATTTTTTAATAGAATTTGTAGCAGAGAGAAAATGTGATACGAGTTTTTAATTTTAGACGTAGACATATCATGCTATCATTGTATTCTATTCATGTTTTTGTATAACTCATAAGTGTCAAACAAATGAAAATAAAGATGGATAAGGTAACTCCATCTTTAAGCATAGTAATAATTAAAGATACAAATAAAGGTCTACAATTTAATATGAAAACAAATGTAGACTAATTTCAAAGTCAAACGGTTACTAATAATTAATGATCACTTTATGTATCTCAAATGATACTAATAATTAATGACCACTTTATGTGTCCCAAATGACTCAGTGGTGAAATTATATGAATATGAGTAATAAATATCAGTTTCTTCAAAATTCTGCTATATCTGGACTACAGCTCCACAGGTTCACCAAACAACTGAGAACTATCATTTCCTTTGTAAAATAAAATAATGTTTAGAAATAACAAAAACCGTGATGAGACGATTTGTGCACAAGAGATATAGCTAATATAGCAGTTAAACAGATATAACAAATGTATATCTTTGATTATGTACATAATTTGAAATTAAATGTGATCTGATGTAATATAGTTTAGGCATATTCCTGTTGCTCATGGTCATACCAAGATACAAAGAAATTGAGATGCAGTGAAAGACTTTGTATATCATTGGGTCTGACTTATATTTATGCACCTCCCATTTTGTAGTAACTTTCTCATCTGCATAAAATGGGCATGTTACAGTTCAATATATATCACCAAAAGCATATTACAGTTCAATAGAAATTTCAAAAAGAAAAATGAAGGCCACATTCTCTCTTATCATTTCTGGAGATCTGGTAAGAACTTACATTTTTAAGATCTTTAACATAATTTCAACTAAAATCACACATAAAAATACTTATCATTTTAGACAGTATCGATACCTGTTGTTGTCTTTTCAAGCCACATGCATAATTGGAACCATATTTTGTTCATCGTTTTATCATTGGGCTTGGACATTATGGGATTCCTATCAATTGTCCTGCTATATTCCTGTTTCGTCTCCTTTTCCTTTTCCTCATTTTTGTCACCTACAGAAACAGAAAATTATATTTAGCGAATAATTATGAGCAAACATCAATACCTTAAGAATTTGTGACATGAAGGAAGTTCCATCCAATGATAATGCATTATCTTCTGTTTCTAATTGCATGAACTCCACATAAGCTTCCCTGTTTCAAAAAAAGTGAAATGATTGAGAGAAATACAAGGCCTGAAAAAGAAGACTGTAATAATTTACGCTCAAAACTACTAAGTAATAATGGGTCTTCTTCATAACCTGCATATTTCAGTGATGAATACTTGAACACAAAATCATTTCTCCTAAAACATTTCTTTATTTCTCAATATCAATCTAAATAATGAAAATGATAGCAGATTAGTTAGAGACAAGCATAACTATAACTATAACACAAGATGAATAACTATAATCCCTGTCTGAAATTGAAACCACAACCCCACAAACAGACAAATAGATCGTCTCTAAACACATAAAGCAGGGGAGAGGTGTACCTGCATAAATCTCGTCGTACATGCAAAAATCTCCTTCAATTTCAATTTCATAAAATAAGAAAGGAGAGAAAGAAAATCGTTAAAATCATAAATACAAAAAAGCATACACTCATCATGAATATAAAACCTTAGCCATCACAGGATCTATTTTCTTAGCCTCCGTATCATCTTGTACAAACACAAATTACAGTTCACAAAACAAAATCAAATTCATTAATTTATAACCCAAAATCCCAAACACATCAACCTGCAAAAGTTAAAAAAAAACTGAAAACAACAATAGAAATCTGGATTGGAGAAAAAGAGTAAGCTTCAAATCGACTGAACTACAACTCCGACGAGAGGGCAACCGAGAATCGTTCCCCCTCCGCCCAGCCACAAACCATCGACAAAGCTGGCCACCCGCTCCAAAGTCCCACCATTCCTTAATAGTGTCTCATGTAACGCCCCAAATATTAAATTAATTATTTAATTATGTGGTCGTAATTTATCTGATGTAATATGTGATTTTGTGTTGTTATGTGCGGAGTAGTATATGGTTTAAATCTCGATGAGAGGTATTGGAGATTTAATAGTTATTGGAAATTATGGATTTTAGAGATAATTATTAGAATTATTAGTGAGTTGGAAAGATAGTAAATAAGTATTTAAGTTTTATTTAATTATTAGCCTTTTTGCTTTCACCATCATTCCAATCCTTAGGATGTTTTAAAACACCATTATCACCCATGGGAATGTTGTAATGATTTGACCAGGAACCACAAAATATGCAATTGAATAAATTGTATAATTCATGAGGTGTGGTTACACAATATTTCAATAATCCAAATTTTAAAGTCACGATGTTTTGCATATTTTAATCACCACAAAAGCTCTTAATGGTTTTCTAATTCTAACAAAACCTAAGCTTTTCAAATTAAATTTCTATTACTAAAATGTATACCTAAGCAAATATATTTTACGAAATGAAAATTAAAGAGTGAGAGAGAGATGACATGGTGGTTTAAAGTGCTTCGACTCTTTCATCATCACCAGGGCGGATCCAGACTTTATATATTGGTGTGGCTAAACATAAAAGAAATTATCGACTAAAATATATTGAAAATAAAAAATAATATTGTTTGATGAAGTGTATTTACAATGAAAACCGTCTAGTATCAATTTCTTGAAAATGAGCTAAAATAACATCATTGTTAATTGTTCCAAGAACATCTCTTTCTATAAAAGTTACAAGACGATCATTTAACCATTGATCACCCATTTTGTTACATAGCTGACTCTTCACAAACTTCATAGCTGAAAAAACACGTTCCACGCTCGCAGTTTCTACTGGCAAGACTAAAGCCAACTTCAGAAGCTTATAAACTATATCAAAAGTGTTGCATTTTTTTGTTTCCACAAGTTTTGCACAAAGATCTGAAAGTCCGTTTAAATTTGCAAATTTTGGATCACATCGAACATTTCTAACATAATTCTGAAGTTGATGTCTTACCGCCACTTCCGGCACATCTACAAAATCATTTGGATAAAGTTCAACCATCCTCAATAATTTTTTCACATCAAAAGATTCAAATGATGATGAGGGACTCAAACATGAAACACATTGTAAAAGTTCAGTATTCTCTTCATCAAACCTAGCATTGAGCTCATGCAACTGCAAATCTAAAACACTACATAAACAATCATGCTTATAATGATGCAAATTAGAAACACTAGAAGTGATAGCATGTCGTCTAGGTTTCTTCCCTTGCACGTACGCTGCATCCAAATCAGGCACATCAATATCATGCTTATTGCAAATTTCCATAACCTTAGATATAAGTTCTTCCCATCCATCATTTCTCATTTCTTATAATTCCTGTTTGGTGGCTTTGACAAGTGATAAAGCATTCAAAAGATCTTGATCACGCTTTTGTAGCAATACACTTAAATCATTTGTAAATCCTAAAATCTCGACCATCATGTATAACATGAAAATAAAATCAAAGGACTGAAGCACATCTAGCAAAAGCATAGTTTCACCATATTTTTCAAATAACGTATCTTTCCCGACTTCTTCAAGTACCTCAATAATGGCACCATATAAAGTCATCAAACTAGTGAGAGTCCTAAAGTGGGAACCCCAACGAGTGTCACTCACTCTAGCAATAGACGATTCTTGATTTAATCCACTACCAGTCTCTATCTCACCCTCTTCAATCAATTTAGCAAATTGAGATACTTGTTTGTCCCGAAGCAATTCTTGTCTCTTGTTAGAAGACCGTATGAAATTAACAAGCATATTGACCTTAACGAAAAAACCACTAACATCTTTGTGAGTCTTAGCACATGCAACAAGTGCTAATTGAAGTTGATGGGCAAAATAATGCACATAATAAGCTGATGGATTTTCATTTTGAATTAAAGTTCTCAAACCACCAAACTTACCTCGCATATTGCTAGCTCCATCATATCCTTGCCCCCTTATGCTAGATAAACTCAAGCCATTAATAGACAACAACTTCTCAAGTGCCTCCTTAAGTGACTTAGCACTTGTTTCTTTAACACTAACAATCCCAAGAAACCTTTCTTTTACCAAACCATCACTATTAACATAGCGAATAACAACAGCCATTTGTTCTTTACCAGCAACGTCACCGAATTCATCAATCAAAACACAAAACACATCATCCGCAATATCACATACAATTTGTTTAGTTATTTCACATGCACAAGCAGCAGCAAGATCCTTTTGAATCTTAGGGGCAGTCATAAAGTTATTTCCTGGAGCACAATTTATTACCTTAGCTATCTCTGGGTTAATTTCCTTTAGAGTGTCCACCAACTCAAGAAATGGCCCCTTAAATAAAGAGTTAAAGGACTCGTCACTCCCTCTAAATGGCATGCCACACCTCAAAAGAAACTTAGTAGCTATAAGAGATGTGTTTACACAAACACGATATTCAGAATTCATTTGTTTAGTTTGATTAACAAATGCAGCCTTAATACTTTGGTTTGGGTTCATGAGAGCGTAACTCATATGCACACAATCAATATGACTATTGGAAGAAGTTCCATGATTAGCCAATCTGTGAGAATTCTTCCAATCACCAAACCCCTCTGTCACAAAGTGATCTCCCCCGTATTTAGAGACATTCTTAAACAAAAAACATGGCAAGCAAAATGCCAAGTCCTTAGATTCACTATAATCAATCCAATCATACAAAATCAAACCAATTTTTGCAAAATCTACGTATTTGATTACCTTGAACAGACCAAGGGTAAACAAAATTGTAAGGAGGTTTATGACGACCTATTTTTAAATAAGCTTTCTGTTGTACCCCAAAATTTTCTCTCCCATATTCTTCAAGAAAATGCCAAGTCAAGCTTCAAATCTCCCCAAGGGTTGCACAGTGCAAAGGTCTCCTATACAGTCAAAACTAGGGTTTGTGTTCTGATCAAGAAAATGAAAATTTCAAAGGTCCAATCAAGTCTCATATGCCTACAAATATGGTCAAGTATCCTCATATCAAGTTTCAAGGCATTCAGTACAAAATTGCACAGTCAAAAACCCTAATTGCACTACAGTCAACTGTAGGGGCAAAATGGTCATTTGACAGTCAAAAGTTCAAATTTTTGGTCAACATATCATTTTGAAGCCACAAACATCATTTGATCAATGCTTGATCATGATTCTCAAAATTTGGCTCAGAAATCATCAAGATGCAAAAGTTTCCTTATTTGGACAGCTGAAAAAGTCAACTGAAATTGACCAGGGCATAACTTTCACATGGATTGTCAGAAAAATTCCATCCAAAGCTCATTTTGAAGAGAAATACATTTCCTACAACTCATCTTCATACTTAAAGTCCAAGAAATGCTCTCACAAAAAGTTATCAATTTCAACATTATAGGTCATTTTCAAAAGTCAATAAAAAGGGACTTTAAGTCAAAGGCCATAACTTGAGATTGGTAAATCAAAATGACATGGGACCAAAGGCATTGGTTATAGGACTCAACGACCTTTCCAAAATGTCCAAGAACATGAGAAAAGATTAAAAATTGAGCAAGTTATGCCTTGTGGAAGTTGGGAAATTTTTGGGTATTTTGAAAAGTCAACATTACTTCAAATGACCTAAAATTGCTAATGGGCCCATTTTTCCTCCATAATTCATTATCCATGACATATGCACGACTACTTGGCCCAAAGGGAAGTATTTTCTCATTATTTATTTATTTATTTGAATTTTTATTTATATTAATTCACTTAAATCAATTAAATATGTGAAAAATACTTAACTTAACCTAACAAATCTTTTTGCACATGTTTTAGACTCAATAATTCGTGCACATTCAAATATGGGAAGATTTGGTTTGATTGGATCCTAATTGACACAAAATTGCATGGAAAAAGATATGAAAAAATCTTAGAAAATCAAATTTCCAAAATCAATGAATGCAATGGATTT